CATCATCATCATCATCATCAACATCATCATCTTCTTCTTCCTCTTCATCATCATCATCTTCATCACCATCATCTTCATCATCATCTTCTTCGTCATCATCATCATCATCCTCAGCCGCATCATCATCACCATCATCAGCATCTTCATCATCAGCATCATCATCATCATCATCATCGTCATCATCATCATCTTTTCTTCTTCGTTATCATCATCCTCATCATCATCCGCAGCCTCATCATCATCACCATCATCAGCATCATCAACAGCATCACCATCATCATCCTCATCCTCATCCTCCTCATCATCTGCGTCATCATTAGCATCATCTGCATCAACATCACCATTTTCATCATCCTCATGACCATCATCAGCCTCCTCATCCTACTACTACTGCTACGACTTCTTCTCCTCCTCCTTGTCGGTCGCCCGCCGGCCCAGGTGGACACGAGGATGGTAGACCTGAGAGAATGACCGGCTGCATGGCGTCCAGGTTGGAAGAAGGAAAAGGGCATGTCATGCGCAAGGAGATGCTGCGCAGTAAAGCAGTATTGCAGTTTGAAAGGCTTAATTGAAAGACCTGACATGAGGAAGCTGAAGCTCGAAATTTAAAGAAACTAAAAGTAGAACAAGGCTGTTACACAAAGAAAGCACTGTCAGCGAAGTTGCGGCACAAACTTTTCAGCAGCGTGATGGACCTGCACCAACGGCTTTCTTTGAAGCAAATCACCCTGTACGTCTGCGCCGTTTCCGCGGCGGCTCAGCAGCAGTTGTTCGACGCCCGGTACGCTTGCGAGCTTTTGGGACATCATTGAGCAGTAATGAGTCCGAAGGGAATGTCGGCAGCGCCAAGCTGCGAAGGAACGTCGAATGCTCGCACTGGGCATGCATTGTTGCGGCAGCACAAGAACAAAGGAGGGACGTCGGCCGCGCCCGCACATACACAACATCTTCAAAGTGAAAGCGAAGGGCCTGCAATGAAAGATTGCCGGAATCGTCAAACAACTGAGGCAAACTGTTTGCATGCAGCAGCGTCGGCTGAAGAAGGAACCGCAAGATTCCCTGCGCCAAGCTACGATTCACCGGCGATGTGGCGGCAGTGGCTGCACAGGCAACCCACGAATGATCTGTGGACTGTTGAAGGACATAGCACGAGTTCGGTGGCAACTTGGAGAAGTTGGCTGCTGTAGTGCGCCCGGCTCGCGCTAAAGCCGCACCATTGACTAACTGAGGGTCCTGTCCGGCCGGCTGAAAAGACAAAGGCGAAGCATCCATCCAAGAGTACCAGTCTTGCCAATGTTGTGTGTAGAGCCTTTGTAGGACGCACAAGCAATGGTTGATGTCTCCACGGCCACCGAGAGAAGCCAATTCCGTTTGCCACGCGCCATGCACAGCTTCTGCGGGCTCACTGCCGCTGCCCGATCCGGGTATAATGCCATCAAAGCCAACCCAGAAACTCACATAAATAAGATCCTGTGGGCCAGCGGCTTGCTCGGAAAAGATAGATGGCAAAGGCCGCTCGTATGATTGCAACCAATCGGCTAGAATCGGTTCATCCATGCGTCGCAAAGAAGCCAGGAAAGCTTTCCAGAGCCAGCTAAACAGAGGCAATGTCGGGATGAACCGCAGCAGCGACACCACAGTCAAGGCATAGTGCAAATGCTTTTTCACATGTTTTCCTTTGTGAAGAACAACCTGACGGCACTTGGACCGCATGACCGTGTGAGATTCTTCTTTGAAATGGAAAAAATCATCACATGCCCGAGAGTGTGGGAAGACTTCTCGACGAGCTTCTTCGGCGCTGGGGTGAAAGTCCTTGTGGATTTGAAGGCTTCGCTGCTCGGGCAGAGGCAAGCGGCTCGGCTGGCGTTCTGCCCACAAGTCGCAACAGGTCCGAAAAAGGCGGCAATAGTTGGGCTTTGTTTCGGCGTGAAAAATTGCCTGCGCAACGGGCATGCCATGCGACGTCCAAGCACGGCTTTGAGTCCGAGAGCCTTTGCCAAGTTTGGGCAAGCGCGTCTTGCGCAGCTGGTCCTTGACCAATAAGCTGACTGTGGCCACGCCCATTCCGCGGGTCAACACCTTCATCTTGGTGTCCACAGAAAGGGCGACATCTAGACCAGTGTAACGGTCAAAGGTGTTCAGCGTCCCGGGAGAAGCGAAAAGGATACAGACTTCCGTATCCGTGATGATTGGGTCCCGCAGAAGAAACAATGCATCGATTTGCTTTGGAAGGCTTCGTGGCAACTGACTAACTTCCAAAGCAACCGCTGCCACAACAGACTTGTCTTTGTCGAGGGCATCCTTGTTTTTGCGGCTGTTGTTTCTCAACCAATTGGCAAGCTGGGTGTTGTCAGGCAATGATGCATCGGCACAGCCTGCAGCTAGAAGGGCCACGCGCAAATTCTTGGCCCCACGGCCACCTCCGGAGAGGAAGCGGGCAGCAATTTCGCGCTGCTTTTCGTTGAAGATTTTCCCTGACGCACAAGGTACAGCACCGTCATGCCCGGTGTGTTCACCAGATGCCTGAACGACCAAAGTTCCAGGGCTGTACAAACTCTTGCTGAGAATGTAGTGGGTTCGCCAGCAATGGGTGCACAGTTCGCTTTCTACGCAGCGAACCTCACTCAAAATGCGTTCTTTGTTTTGCCACAAAGTCCGCACGGCCACTCTGGTGTCAGCCCATTCAGGTCTGCGGCGCAGGTGCTGCAAAAGCTGCTGGTTGGACATCAAAGGAGACCCAAGCTCCACCCGAGAAATGTCGCGCCACTGGATGGCTTGCTTCTTCTTCCTTGGTTTGGCTGGTTGATTTGGGTGGGCACTTGCACCGCCACGCGCAACTTGTGGAGACGGTTTTGCAACACGAGGCACTGCACTTTGCAAAGGTTGAAGCTCTTGCTCCCCGGAGTCCACTGCTGTGTCTTTGCTTCCACACACACCCGAATCAACGTCCACGCACCCCCCACGGCAGGTGCCTAGAAAAGCTGCATGATCAACATGTGAACGTTTTCCGAAATGGGAAAGTGGCACCCGGTGTTTCCGCAACCAATCCAAACAACCAGGAGACAGTGACCCGACATGATATTTGCGGAATCGCGCAGTACCACCGGAGCTGCACAGCTCCCCAAGCCCAAGGTCTTTCAGCTGCAACCACAAATCAGCGATGCGTTGGCGGGCCAGATCCGCCGCGTTGCAGGAGCCTTTCTCGATACTTCGTTTCAATGCCAGGTCTGCACAAAAAATGTGTTCCAAGGTGATGACAGAGCCAGGCGCTCCCCGCAAAATGCGGAGCAGCAATGGGAGTAAATCATCCTCCGCGTCGCGGAAGTCGTGCCGACGGTGCAACCAAGTTTGCTCTTTGGAAGTGACGCTGAGGATTGCCTGGCCAAAAAGATACCGCTTCAGCATGAATTGGACACTCGCAATGAAACACTCGTTGGACACAGTCGTGGGAAACTCATCCGGCAAATCACGCCCCAACGCACTTGGCCACAAATTCGCCACCAGGTGGTTTGTCAGCACGGCGGTGCCCAGCCAATACATGGCCTTGGGCATGGCCTCCCGAAAGACCGTGTGCACGGAATCTTTGCGAGCAAACAAGCGGCCAATCTCTTCAAGCTCAACAATGACCGCACGCTGTGCATGTGTAGTTTCAAAGACAAAGTCGGCTGAAGTGGTAATATGAGGCCCAAACCGCCGGATGATAGCACTAAAAAGCTGCTTGAGAATAGGCACAGTGACATCTTGCAAGAAGCCATTCCAAGACTGCTTGCCCATATTCAAACGAGCTCCAAAGGAAAAGAGAAAGCGCTGCACCAATCCAAGTGGTTTGGTTGCTGCCACTGGCGCCCACCAATTAGAAAGAAACAGTTCCTGCTGCAAAAAAATTATGTGAACATTTGTTTCTTTCAAAGTCATGCCAACTGGTTCTGGCACAGGGGCTGTTGGATCAGGAACCTTGTGCTTCAACACTTTTTGGCGGTCAACTTGGGTGCTGAAGCTAAAAGAGCCACCGTGGGCAGCATTGAGAAACAGTTGGAAATCAATGAACTTGGATGGGTCAGTGGCTCCACCGTTGGCAAAAGCAGGGCAAAGGCAGGCGCCAGCTTCATCCGAATGTATTGCCAGATATCCGTCACAGAAACGAAGCTTTTCGCGAGCCGCTGCGGAAGTGCTGCCCTGTTGCAGGTGAAACTGGTCGCCAGGTGAGCCCACGGTGAAAGCTGTGTTCTGGTGCAACGCCCTCTCCACAGCTTCGACGACTGGCATCATCGCTGGTGACTTCCCTTCAGCGACGTTTGCAGTGCCAACCATCCAATACCGATTCTTGGTATGATACCGCTCAGTGAGTTGCACGCCGGCCCGCTTGTGCACCACTGCATTTCCGAAACTTTGCACTAGATCGATCCAGAATACCAGTGGAATAGCCGTGGCTCGGGCTGTGGCTTCAAGCAGGACGGCCAAAGGGTAGACCATGGTGTCTCCGATCCATGGCACGACTTCAAGAGCAGCGTGACTGTTCACATTGTCCAAGCAAAGGTCAGAGACTTGCGCCTGGTAATGCTCCGCGATCTTGTCCAGAGTGACCTCCGGGTCGGCTGAGAAGAGGGGAAGTTCAGAGAGAAAAGCACGACAATCTCCTGCGTTCTCAAACAATTCAAGAAGATGCAGGGCATGGTCACCCAATGCATCATGGCCATGGCTTTCAGGCAAAAATTGCGGCGGCATCTGCGGCTGGTGGATGGCAGAAGCAGTGGCTTGCAGCGTCTCAGTTGCACCTGTACCGTCCTGGCCAGGGAGCAAATCAAGCGGTGAACGTCAAAACAGCGCAAAAAAAGGACAAAGCCGACAGGTGTGGTAACCAGGAAAAGCAGCCCCAAAAAATGAAACCGTTCTGGCCCACCTCCGTCAAAGAAGCCGACAATGGAGCGCTGAAATCCAACGCATCACGGCCATGACCTTCAGGCAAAATGTCCGGTGGCATGGAGCCCTGGGGCAGGCCAGACGCACGGGCTGGCTTTGTACCTTCTGCACTTGGATGCACCTGGTCGAGGGATCAAAGAAATCAATGAACGTTAAAAAACGGACAGGATTGGCGGCGGATCAAAGAAACTAAGCAAGGTCAAAAAACAATGCACAAAAATGAAGGGAAATGGACTAGCAAAACGTGTAGTCGAAAGATCCCACCTCGGTCGGAGAAGATGATCGTGGTGAAATAGCTTCTTGAACTCGTTCATACAAGAAATACCTCGCATGAGTCTGTAAGTGTGAAGGGTCAGTCGGAAAACGTTTGGGTGCATCTCCATCATTGTACTGCACCCACACGTCATCCGGCGCCAGCACAAATGCAACATAGTGACCACGGTGGTAGGAGTCCCCTCGATGCAGTACTGCTGCCCGGAGGCGATACACGTAGTTTGCATGTTCAAACTCAGGGGGCGCAAACACAGCTGTGCGGTTCAGGGGCAGGCCAGGATCGGTTTCGCGAACGAGCTGTATGAGCGCAACGTCCCCCAAGTGCCATGATGAAACTTGATGCAACACACTTTTAACTTTGCAAAGTGGACATTCCAAACCTCCATCAACAATCTCCTCGCTGTGAGGTAAAAGCAAGTCTGTCAAGGGCAGCAGTTTCATCAAAGGGTGGAAGAGAGATTAACGCCACTGGGTGTGGCGCAAGCACGGGCTGACAGGTTGGAAGTTCAATCGGGCACTGGCACCGCACCTCATGGCTTCGTGTTTGCAAATATTCCACTGTCAAGATGTTCAAGACTCCGAGATCAATGGCAGCAAGCTTTCCCAAAAATTCCAAAGGGTCTTGCTGGCGATCAAAAGTAAGCTGCAAGCCGCGCAGTGGCTCGGTCCACACCGGCTCCAAATCAGTCGCCGATTCACGAGGAGAGCTCACAGCATGCGTTTCTCGCAAGGCACACTGCCAGCAAGAGCTTCCACATTGTCTGGTCTGCTGGTGTTGAGAGATGGAATTAACTATGGGCAAGCATGCAAACATGGACTGCAGCAAGCTAGCCAGCCAACAGGATGTGCCCGAGACGTTGGGAAACACGCCGCGGAAAGAGAAGCCTGCGACGGAGCACGACGAAACGGACGAGCGTGAAGTCCGACCCCCCACGATCTCCAACCCCGCCTGCGGTGTTGCCGTTGGAAACGTGAGCTGCTTTGTTGCGACACTTGCGTGAAATGGTCCACCGGAACGTGGTCAAGACTTGCGCTGCAGCAGTTCCAAAAGGAATGTGGGGGCTGAGGTCGGACACGCTGTGCACAACCTCGCAAGTCTTGACCGTTCTATATGCCTTTGCAAACTTTAAAAGGCCTGCAGTACCAACGGCTGCAAGCTAAGCATGGACCAGCCTCGAGCTCCAGCGCCGGCGCCATGGCGCGGTTGTCGGAAATCTCGCGCAGCCTCACGATGTGCAAACGCAACAAAACCAAAGACTAAACACAGTCATCAGGACCGGACGCAGTCGTCACCAGAGAACGTCGCCACGCCCGGGTGGGGCGACCCCACTGCTGCGTGTTGCCTCACACGAAGCAAAGCAGAAACAAAGACAGCCAACCCCGCAGGTGTACAATGACTAAGGCCCCGGCACCACGCTATGTCGAAGAACAGCCCGAAAGGACACTCCTGTCAAAAGTCTCATGCGCTGGCAACCGAAAAGTCGGCGCGAGCCACACCCAGCCTCCTGCGCTTGCCTCCAAGCAAAATCCAGAAAAGCATCATCCTGGAAGGGCCGAATCTCTGCAAGAACAAACCAGCCGAGCCTAGGAAAGTGGAGTATACGAGCATCCGATGCACACAGCGCAGCTAACCGCCTCCGTCGTGGTAGCACACGGGCCACGAGCACGGCGGCGCCTGACTGGATAGCAGGAACCGAGCATGTGAAAACCACGTCTGACACTGACGGACCTGTGCTTTTTCTGGGAGCACGGGGTGGCCTGCCGCGGACGTGCCATGAAGAACCGGTCCCACCCCGAAACGTCGCGCAACTGTGAGGCTTCGACCGTGCGAACTGGCTCCAGGGCTTCCTGTCACAGCAAGACAGCAACGAGCAACGGCTGTTACGCTGCTACGCCCTTACAGCTCAACATACATACTCTGCACGGGGCCTGTGGAACATCGTTGCACGGCACATGGATCCACCCCACCTGGCAAACGATTCTGTAGCAAAAGCGGTCCAGGCGTGCACGCACTGAGGCCCGGACAGGGGTTTTCAAGGTGAGGCTGCAGCCCCAAAACTTGCGGAGAAACCTGTCCACGTCGAACGCCTGGCAGCGCCGCGCGCAGTCATCGCAGCAGAAGTTTGCAGCGCAACGGGCCTCCAAATCGCAGTCAGGATCGTCCGCCCAACGCAGCGCCATCAGGGGAGCCTGGTGGAAAGCACCGGCACGGAAAACGGAAGTCAGGGAGAAGCAAGAGCAACTGCAAGAAACTTCTGAGAGTGCGGCAGTGGAATCTGCAGCCCCGGAACAGAACAAACTCTAGAACCAGAACTTGCAGCAAGGGAGGCACCAACGGACATGCAGAGGGCAACCGGGGGAAGCGGAAAAACGACAACGCTTGACTCGCACCGGCTGAGCCGCTGGCACTCGAAGAAAATGACGGCAGCGCAGCCTTGGCAACAAGAATTGGCAAAGCCCCACCGCTGAGTGAGAAGCCGCTGGGCGCCAAGCTCCGCGACCAAGCTCCGCGACCAAACTCGAGGAGGATGGCAGCGCAGCCTTGGCCGCGACCAAAGCTCCGCGACCAAACTCCAGAAACAGCCAGGCACGTTATTTGAGCTGCTGGCCGCTGGCGTTCGAAAAAAGTGATCAGAAGGCAGCCTCGGCTACAAGATTCCACGATGACAAGCTAAAGGGGTACCGGCGCAAAAAAACACCGACCAACTGTCGCAAAAAACACCGTGGCTGGGGCACCGACGCAAAAAACACCGATTGCTGGTAGACAAAACACCGTACAAGTTGACTGTCTGGAAGAACACCGATTACTGACGCAATAAACACCAAGCCCCTCGATCTGAATGATAGCAGGGCTGTTGCAGAGGGAGAACTCCCGACTCCCGACTATTGATTCACCCATCTGCAATGTCTGAACTAGGTTGCACCCCGAACAGCTGCAAAGTCAAAGAATGCTGTGTGACTAATACCCGGTTAATCCTGGTTACTAGGCCTCAAGCTTCACAAAACCCAGCTTCAGCTTCCTTCACTCTCCAAATCAGGCGCCCATCCATGTGTTTCTGTGCACCGTCCACATCGACATCGCCTAGCCCCGTGGCCTTTGGCCTGGACCATCAAGAAGCCGTCCGTGGATAGAAACACGCCCGTGGGCTCGACCACCTGCGGTCGCTGCGGCGACCATGCGGTGCAGATCCGGATGCGGATGGGATGGATCTCGGTGCTCCGATCGGTGGCAGGTGGGATGATTGACTGGTAGCAAAAATAGCACTGGGATGGGGGGGCTCACTGGATCTAGGGCTAATATTGAGAGCTGGAGCTGAGAGAGAGAGAGAGAGAGAAAGACCTGTGGAAAACACGGCTCTATGGGGCTCTATTTTTGAACATGGACAGCAAGTGAAGCAGAGCAAAGAAAGGTCTGTAATTGAACTGATGGAACCACTTGCTCCGAACCCTGGTCAAAATTCTTTAACGTGTGAAGACCCGGTCCAAATCGCATGACATCACCAATTTTAGGAAGAAACACAATTAAGTCTGCTGCATCGGGTGCATGTGGCCAGCGTTGGCATTGCCTGATTCTTCCCTCTTTCGTTTTGCTCCGAAAAAGAAAAATCGTCTCCGACCGCCCGGCCTTGGCTCTCTTGGCATGCCGCCGCTCCCCAAAGCGCTCCTGGGAACCGACAGAGCCGATGTCGAGATCCTTCGAGTCAACAAACACCGGGGGTTCAAAAAGACTCTCCACAGCTGGAAGTGGAACATTGCCCGTGCAATAACAGCTTTCTTTCACAAGCAGTGGGTGTTCCGTAGCCAGTGAGTTGGAGTGCAGGAATCATGCAACTTCCTCCCCCTTGCCATCGTGTAGTTTTGGCGCGAATGTCTCAGAATAGGCCCACCTCACAGCCAACGGGCTGACCAGTTGCTTTTTGGGGGTCTCTGTATTCGATTAGCAACGTGCACACCCATTTGCCAGTTGGACTGGGGATCAAAGGTATCGATAGTGTCGGTTGTCATGCTCAACTCTAGTGGTCGAAATGGTGTGCTCAGAATAGATTATTTTTTAAAAACATATATATTATATATATATTCAGCTATTTTCATGCAAAGCCATATCCATCTCAGCTACTACAGAAGCTATAATGAGAATGAATTATGAGGTCTTGACACAACATCTGCAACTTCATCAAATCTAGTGCAATATCCGAACCAATCATCCCACCCACAAAGGAGACATACAGGCCCCATGAACCCCTGAACTGTCGTGTGCAAAGGTGCAATTCCATGCAGCTCGGCAAACAGGCCTCGTCAAAGGACCTCTTCACTCGGGTCCAAGCCTCGCGACACATTATGAGATGCAAAGTTGGGATTGATCGACACCGCTTGACACCGCTTTGTATCATCTCATCACTATCTATATAGTAATTAGTCTTATATCACTGATATCTTATATGTAGTCAATATATGTGGATATGACAGTAGTTTAATACATAATATATACGTGTTCGAGATCCATGGAGGTGTGATGTGGTGTTGGACCTTCTAAACATCTAGGGTACGTTGTACATTGTGGTGCATTCCGTTAAATGCCACTATGGGCCTGCACCCGCCAAAAGGAGCAGCCTGTAGTCAACTCCTGTGGATCTCGTGTACATGGCCAACGTATGCAACGGTGAGTGCTTTGAAGAAGGAGGAGGCGACCACAACACATCAATGTTGCCTAAATTTAATGTTGGATAATGTTGGGTATTGACACCAGTGGATTATGGGGTGATCACTCACCGGCCATCCATAGCCATCCTTTCAAGGACCCCTCTAATTCCTCCCCCCTACACAGGAAACTCCACAAACACTCCATGCGCGGCTGAAACCAAAATGCGTCCCGCGTTCGATTAAACACCTCATACGCCCCCCCCCCCCACCTCCTCAGAGCCTTCCTGCAAGGTCACGAAGATGTTCACCGCCTCAAGATTGAGAGAATCACAGAGATCGGTGTAGGATGCAGTCGCATCCTCAATTCTGTATCATTTGACTGAGATGCTAGACAATACCAAACAAAGTGTTAGGTGTGTGCTATCCATTAACAAGCTATGCACTAAGTGACTTACCACTGATCTTGACAAGCAACAAAACAGCTTCACATATTGTTAAGTTTCCCAAACAATCTAAAAACCATCATTAGTGTAAGCGCTTCTTCAAGGAAGCTTCCCCCGCCACCTTTAGGGGAGCTTCGTTGAAGAAGTGTGAGCTATCCTGCGTCCATACTAGTAGCTACTTAAGCTACTAGCTACCTCTTCTACTGGCTACCTAAGTTAATCTACCTCACCTCTACCTCTCCCCCCCGGTGATAAACACATGTGAACAACAAACTGTTAGGTCAGCAGTCACATCGATGAGTTGTCGGACCTTCTCCAAAATAGCCTTTATGAGCCGCATCTACATTGCACATCAAGATAGCATCTAACATCATCTAATCGAAACTTGAGATACAACCATTTCGTACCCCCGCCCAACTTGCCTCCCGGATGACCCTCAAGTTCACGCAAAGGCGAGTGCGCACCTGGCATCATCAAACTCGAGGCACCGTCAATCAAACACATACTGAGGAGGCGCAGTGGGAGCTTAGTGCTTAGCTGCTTAGTCTGAAGCACAAAGTGTCACATCGTTTCTGATTTCAGAAGACTAAGACCGTGGAGAATCTTCTGCTGGTAATTAGTTACTGAAAAGTTGATTGGATTACTGTACAGTAGCTCTGTTTGTACCAACAAGACTGGCAACAGTTCATCTTTCAGGTTGCAAACATGCCCAATCTGACATAGCATCCTCGCAAAGGAAGAGACAGTCATTTTCCAAGCCCACCTCTGGGTCGCCGTGTTCGGACCGGGTGCATCTATAAACGCTTCCTCGAGGGTCGCATGCTCTACTTCCAGACAAGGGTTCCGGCGGACGAGTTGGCCGTTCCAAGATCTACGTAGTAGAAGTGGAACCCCAAAGACATCCAACATCATCCGACATCATAGACAAGAATGATAAGATATATGATATATCGTGAAACATCTATGATTGGGCCATCTGCGCAGTCCGGTCATACCTCCCTCCGGGTTTAACCGATTCCTCTTCTGCCCAGGCCTCAAACTTGGAGGTCTCGGTCACCAGCACGGTCCGCTTCCTTGATCGGAGCGCAAGTCCAAGCCACGTTGGGACGGCGTGAGAGAGTAAAATGAGACTTATCATCGTGAAATCATATGATCTGTCACCAATGACCATCTTCAGTGGCCATGGCTTAGAAGATGCACACATACTCGGGCAAATCCGTTGTTTTTCGACAAGTCCGTGCAACCCTTTCTGCATTCCCCGTGACCGGCCCACGCTGAGCCAGCTCTTCAAGTTCCGACCCTGAAATACACAAAAAGAGCAAACATGAGCGGACAATATAGGGAATGAGTAGAATTATACTATATAGGGAATGGTCTGATAATATGTTTACATGATTTTACATGAATTCCTCTAGCACATCCTGAATATTTAATTGTTAAGTGAGACACACGTGGGACCGCGACAGCCACCAATCCGACTACCTGAGATGAGGCTACATGGTGCTCATGGCAGGTCCTTGTAGAGGGGTCCCGCAAGAAAGAACGAGAGATACAGTACTCAAGAACTCCCTTCCTCCTAAAGGGATCTAAAGAGTAGCTCCAACAGAATCAGTGCTTCAGGAGTAAAAATTGCTCATCACTGGAAATATCCCCGACCAAAGTCAAGCACCCTTCGTGGAGCAACGATCAGGTTCTTTCAGACCAGCTTCTTTTGGATGGCCTCTGCCCATCTTTCTGGCACACTTTGGTACCATTCAGGGAAGACGCTGGCAATGTGCCCATCACCACCTGGGGGGGCCGGCCCACACGTTGCTCCTTGGGGAGAAACTCCCAAAACAGTATAAATACTAGGATCAAACATCAAATGAGTCAAAGGATCAAACATAAAATGTGTTTTCTAGGCCCTAAGTGAGTGGAGTGGATGGATCATGGACGCCCCTATGCCCTACGCTATCAATGGATGTTTTCTCCATAATATAGTGCCTTCTTCGTCACGAGGTCGGGAGGGGTCTTCAGTTGTTTCAACAGCGCATCTGATCGACGGCTTTTTTGCCACATCTTGCCACGCTGCATCTGCTTGACAAAGATGAGGGCGATGAACGGTCATGACTGGTCATGAGTCAGGAGGAACTCTTCTACATGAAAAGCGCGGGGAGGTTCATCCAGCTGGGCAAAATCTCTACGCCTACTTTCCCATCTTAAAATCAGGCCTGATGGCCAAATTGATCCGCTCACATGGCATGTCACAAAAACAGCCCATTTAACAGAAGAATCTGCTTGCGGTGAAGATCAAGCAGCTAAGAGACTGGGTGCATCGCTGGATTCGTGAATCCCTGACCGTTTCTCGGGTCACTCGTTGAAGATAGGAGAGCCACATGCACCAAATTATATAGGTGTTTGATGATGGGCATTGTGCTTTCGTTATAACTTCTTAGAGACCAAAGGTTTGTGACGCTTGTGGTGTCCCTCACAGCGCCAGCCCCTCGGCTGTTGCGAGGCCAACCAATGGTCAAAACGCCCGTTTAGAGCTTTGGAAGACAGCCATGTCCATGTCTCTTGAGTGTCCAACCCAAGCCAAAGGTCACCAAATGAGGTCCGCTCTCCTGCAGACATGTCCGCGCCACACAATCCGAAGGAAGAGTTGTGGCAAGAGAGCGCACGAAATGGTCTTCAAAGGGGCATTGAACTATAGTTCCGCCCCCAAAACATTCTGAAGACAAGAAGCACAGATTCCCAAGAATTCCAGGCTTTCTGAACACAAGTCGATGGGAGCTCGCTGAACACTGACTCTATTGCCAAGCTTTTCACTCATGCGCTGCAGAAAGCGTCCTCCTCGAACATCTTGCACAAGCGTCGCTCGTAGTCCTCCAATGATCTACACATGTCACATGGGCATGGGTACCCCTGCAATGCAGCTGGTAGAAAAGATGAGCACCCAATGCTTACAGTACAGGACCTCTTTTCATTTGTCACCCCAATGCCTGCGGAACATCATGTGCGAAGCCAAAGCTACACCAGTTGCTTCTGGCTCTCATCATGAGTAACCGCCCTCTACTCAGGGAAATTGGAATCGGAATATACATTAACATTATCTGAAAATACGGTATATGTCCCTGAAAATAGCAGTAAATCAAAATCACTTCAAGGTGACGTCACATCTTCGAGCTTAAACATTCCCAGATTGACCGCCCCAGATTGAATGCAACATACTCTTTAAGAATGTAAAATATGTCCAAACATTTAGATACTGATGGATCATGAAACACATTCTTAAATTATACCTTAAAATGATCCCAAGTGATCGGCAACTCTTCCAATCCCATTTGGGTCCCGTGTGGGTGACCCTCTGCACACGCGCTCGTCCTCTGCACACGCGCTCGCAGGCGTGATGCTGGTATCCGGCAGGATCTGGAGAGACGAGGAAAGACTATGTTACTACTAGCTTCTTGTTCCTAGTAGCTTCTTGTTACTACTAGTAAGGCACTTGTTACTAGAAGCGATGCACTTGTTACTACTTGAGAGGAGGGAGACACGAAAGGTAGGACAGCGGGAAGAGAAGAGAACGCGAGAGGCAGGAACAAAAATGCAATGTTCGACATGGTGATTTATCCCCTCGGAGGCGACCTTTCGTACATATATGTTCATATGCACTTTAAATGTTCAAACATGTGCTCTCGAAATGTTCAAAAAGGTTCTTAGGAAAACAAACTTGCCCCATGGCTCAGATCATCGGTGAGCATTGAATCGGAACATCATAGGATTTGAACTATCCTGAAACCATAAGAGGCTCACGAAGACGCTCCCCAGGAGAGAATTGACGTGCTTCACAAAACAAACTCTAGGTATGTATCCCCTCGGGGAACACCTTTCGTGATTAGAATTTCATATTCACTCTTTCTGAATGTTCAAGAGGGTTTCAACTATCCTGAAATCATGAGAGGCTCACGAAGACGATCTCCAGGAGAGAATTGATTTTAGAGCGGGGGAGGGGGGGGGGGGGG